ACACGACACCGGCGACGAAGCTGACAAGGGGAGACAGCCGACACAAAGCGCGTTCTTTCGTGCTGGTAATAACTGCACGCTCGCAAATTTCACCGCTGCAACCCCTGCTGCCTGGCACGCGTCCCTTCGAGATGTTTTTATTCGACTGGTTGACCATACACGGAATGAATTTCGGAGGAATTCGAACGAGCGAACCTGGGCACGATCATGCTGTGATTTTTAAATCGCAAAAAAATATTGGATTCCGTGATATCCTTTGCATTTGTGTGCGTTTTGCGATCAACTAGTGTACCTTGGTCATCCTTTAAACGCACGAATATAGATTTTATGAGGTACACGAATATTTCTACAAAATTTTCTCAGAATTCTAGGTATTTTTTGAAGAGGTAGACAAATTTACCTGTTTTGAAGCGTTCTAGCCAGCTGCGATTTAGAAATTACGATAGACTGCTGCAGTGCACAAGGATCCATAACACACCATTCTATCCTGTCTTTCTGTAACAAAAAGAATTGGAAAGCTCGTTACAATTGGAAAGCTTATCATTTCAAATGCTCCGCTGCAGATTAGCTTTCTTTTTATTTCAAACAGAGCATTTATAGAAATACTGTAATCGAAATCTTAGTACAGAGTGTTTGCTATCCTGTTTCAGTAAAATCGGAAACCTATCCCAAACGTTACGACTTCACCAGTCTTTTCCGACTTTCGTATGACCCTAAAATTTTTATCCCCATCTTCTGCACAAGATGACCTGGAATACCGTCAAATTCTCACGACTTTTAGACACGTACTTTCCCGCAGCTTTTTGCCAAAGACTATCCATCCCGTGAACGTTCAAACGTCTCGAAACGATTCCCCGGTCGCGCGGCAGAAACAAAGGCACAGAGAAGGGAATGGACGGAAACACAAAGCCCCACCCAGTTTTTAAAGGGGTTAAGCGGACCACCATCCGACCAGAGTGTTGCAGTTGAACGAACCCCGCTGCTTCGACGGGTCAGCTGATCCGCTTTGCGATTTTATGGCTTCGCTCCCGCAACTTCGCGATATTGTTGCAATAAAGTGCACTTGTACATATTACTCGTTCCGCAGTTTCTTACCCGGTTGTACCGCTATAGAACGAACAGTGACGAATAATGTCACTACGATCGCTACGCAATTACTCCCATGGTCTATTGAGTCTCGTTGAATAGTCTCGCGTGAAATATCATCGGGAAGATAGACAGGAGTCCTCGACTCCTGAGTTCAGGCGAAGTATTCGCGTTGTGAAAACAATATGTGTCAGTGGGGATTGACAGCGGTGTTCTGAATGTGGCCGTGTTTTTAATTTCAACGTACGTGCCACAAACAAAGGATTTTTCATTCGATTCTTTTTTCCAAGAATCGAGGATTGAACATTTTGTTGAAAAGGTTCACAATAAGCAAATGACACACGAAACGAGTATCTCAGATCCGTGTCAAACATATGGATATTCGTTTGCTCTTCGTCAAAGGGAAATGTTCCCATTCCCGGGGACATAAAACGCGTTAAGAGTTCGCCTGATTTTCCTTTGCCATTTTTCAAATCCAATCGTGACCAAGCAGGCAACGGAGTGAAAAAGCCGCGGAACTAAAAGGGAATAATCAATAGTCGCAATAGTGATGAAAATCCACGCGAACTTCAGGACATGCATTCGAGGCACATTCCACGAACAACAACAGAGGAGAAAGCGAGAAAGATAAACGCGGAAACAAGCGGAGAGTTGAAACAGGATGGAACGAAAGCGGGTCAACTGGTCTGCGTGGAAAAATGTGTAACTTCGGTCGAGTGCATATCTGCACCGCTGCAAATCCTAGTAATTTTTACGCCTACGTGGTGCCCTCTGTACGCGGCTATGTTCTCGATCCTACTGTGGCCAAATTCGTATTTTTAATTGCACGACAGCGTGGCGGGAAAGGGTGTGTGCGCGTTCATTGCTAGGTCATCGCAATTTCAACCAAGGTTTTTCAGCGTTTCCAAATAAAAAGTAGAATTTTGAATCGCGTTACCCACTTTTTCTACAATTTTGTACTAATTTCCAAGTCGATATTATACACACGGAAATAATTCCTCGAAATTGATTTTCAATACAGAGGTTAAATCAAACTATGTATCTTCTCACTTTTGTATATGTTAAAATAATATAGTTTGTATTAAGAGAAAAGAAAATTATAGCATGCGTAGGACGGATTAGCAATACGTCGTCTCAACTCGAAGATTTGAAAGAATAGAACGTTTTAGGCTAAACGAAAAACGAAAAGCTTATCGCGCGCGAACACCTGATCTACTTAACATTCTAAAATCTCAACGGTTTCAAGCGTAATCTCGAATGAACTGGTGCATGACGACACGGTGATCCTCGATGGATTAATACCGCACACGTTCTGCCTGTCTGTGTCCGCGAGAAAATTCCGCTTAATTTCCTACTTCGTGGGAGAAAAAAGCAGCTAGAGCTCGAAGAAGGAAAAAAGAAGGAAGAAAACGACACGCCACGACGGCAGAAATGGACGAGCGAGATGAGCCGAGCCACTGTAGCAGCTACAGGTACTAATTGCTTTAATGAGCAGTGGGCGCGGTCGCTTCTATAAAATTTCTCTGTGACGGCTAAGGCGCCAGACCAGCTGGAAGCCAGACCCTGCTAGCCCTGAGTAAAAGATGGCTACTGAGGATGAAAAAGGGCATGTGAGGGATGAGAGTGGGAAAAGATGGGTAAAAGACTGGAAAGATAAGGAAGACTGAACGTTGTGGCGAAAATAGGATTGTTCGAACAGATGTTAAGCACTGAAAGGTTAAAAATTAATTCTTCCGGATAGATCTGTCACTCCAACTTCGGATGCTTCTTGGTGCACGACAGTATTCGAAACTCTACATCAACCATGGAATTAAACATTTTGGACACGTTTACTTGGAGTATCTAGGACTTAACACTACAACTACCGATCTTTAATGGGTACCTAACTATAACGTACACAGATTATAGTAATTTCAGGGGTACGATGAACATGAGTGAATATATTGATTACAGTCCTTTCAGTCCTGTCAGTTGATACCAATTTTATTCTTAAAGCAGGTGTATGTGTTGGGTGATTGCAAAAAGGAAAATTCTGGGACCAGTCATTTTGACTGGGTTGGTAGTTCTAGCGTTAATAAACTGGATATTTTATGACTGAACATAGCGTTCAAACTTTGTGTATAACAAAATTTAACAGTTCAAAGTCACCGAGCTAATGACGAGTATCTTTGAATGTAAAGGATTTCAATTGCTAAAACCCTAATCATTTTATAATGATCAGGATTCAGTTACACGCGAAAACAGTATCCCAATGAAAATCCAGCTGTGTGAGATTTAGGAACACTAGGACGCAGATCCATTGGCTGCCGTTAACAGCTTCTACCATTATTGCTGAAACCACAAGAATCACTCTGGAAGCATCCAATTCCAACGGTGACCATCTCTGACGTGGAAACGAATTTTCCACGCTTCCAGTCGTTTTCCCATCGATGTCTTTCAATCTTCAGCGAAGCAGAATTAACTTGGGTCAACATAGCAGCTGCATTAAATCCCAAGTCCCAAGGTTTACATCGTGGCCATCGATGTGCAGGGTGCATTATTATTAGCACGTTAGAGCACGCTAGAGCAGGCTAGAGCGACAAAGAGCTAGTCGTACCATTGGTTTCAGTGTCTCTGTCGAATTCCACCTCGACTCTCCTTCAACCTATCGCGTTGCTCAGCTTCTTTTTTAGCCTGGACTGCTCTTTTGCCCAAGCACGAAAGTGCTTGCCTTTCCAACTTCGTTTTTCCTACGCTCTTTCGTCTTCATGCTCTCGTCATTTTCTTCCTCTGTCTGTTTTTCCTCCCCTCTTCTTCGGGGCTGCGTTTTTGCCAGGCTTCGTTTCATACTCGCCAATTTTTTATTCCCTACCACCTGCTCCTCTCCTGCTGTTTCGCTCTTTCCCCCCCATCTCTGCCTTCTCTTTGCTCATTTTCGTTATTCTTTGCCACCCCTTTTCCTCGTATTTTTGTTGCCCCGCCTTTCCCTCCTGATGTTTAGTCTTTCACGTTCCTGCCCTGTGTTTCGCCTGTTTTTTCCGCCATTCTCGCTCCCGGTGCTCCTTTTTCGAATTCCTCTTCCATGCACGTTCGCTCGTCAAACTATTTTATCTTCCCGGCGCTGTTTTCCCTGCCATGGAAAAAGCCCCGACCCGGGGCTTTTAATTCATTCAGATTATTCAGCCATTCGGATTTACAGACTGACTTAGGGCAGGAGTTTAATTGGCTACCGATCGGACATTGATTTGACGTAGTCGTGACTCGGAACGTACGTCCACTTGAATTCCAATTCACGTTCCTTTGAAGGAAATGTCGTCGTCCCTCTGTATTTCGCGGTCAACCGCTGGGAAACGAGGGAGTAGCTGCTTTTAAATTATTTAAACAGAGATAAATCCCCGTCGTCCGCTTGTCATCGTCACAAAAGAGCCCTCGCACACGCGCTCCGCGGCTGAAAGCGACTCGCCTTCAAGGAGGATTCCTCGTTTTGTCTTCTGTTTCTCATTTTCCTCCTTTCTGCGCCGTAACTCTCCCTTTCTTCTTATATAAGCCGGCCCAGCCAACGGATATACGAGCACCATAAAGCAGATCACAATGGCTCCTCCACCCTGACGCGGATAATAACGAATCATGATGGCGCTGGCGTTTCAATCAGCTGATTTGGCACGCGTGCCTCTCCTATCTTCGTTACCATCGAAACAGCTGTGTGAATTATTGGACAGTGTTTTAAAAGCCGGTTCAGTCACCTACAGTTCTTTCTTTTTTTCCCTGCATTCTGAAGTTTCTCCAGATTTTACTTTTTATTCCAATAATTTCGCGTTTTGCTACATTTCCGTGCGGTTGCGAAAGCGTCGTTTTAATTGCCCCAACTATTTCTCGCTGCGGAATTTCTGATAAGCGCAATTGTTGCTTCATGCTTGTAGGTGTAAATCGTGTTTAATGGGAATTATATCTCAACGTTTCATCGGTATTCCATCCAGCTTTTCCAAGGATCAATTAACACAGTGATATTAATCTAGTTTGCAGTTTGTTTATAGAGGTACATTATCAGTCAATCGTTTGTTCATTGCTCATTTGAATCATTGAAAATTTGGAAAATCAGGTTAACACTGAACCTACCATGGTGTGAATCAAACTTTTATTCAAAATTCCGCTCGTCTTCGCGATTTTTCTTTCTTTCTATTTCAATATTCGTATAGTCATTTTCTCAATATTTCCCGTTATTCCATTTTTTAAAGCTTCTACTTTTCTTCCACTCACCGGTTATTTGGCCGTTGTAGGTTTAGTGTTAAATATGAAATCGAGTTGGGAATTAGTGTTTGCGTTGATAATGATAAGTTCTGTTAGTTTTAGGGACTTTTCGTATTTCCTGAAAAAGTAATTCTTAATTTTGGATATGATTTTAGTTTCAGAAAAGAAATCCAAAATGTACG